AGGAGAGGAGAGGAGAAGAGAAGAGAAGAGAAGAGAAGAGAAGAGAAGAGAAGAGAAGAGAAGAGAAGAGAAGAGAAGAGAAGAGAAGAAGAGAAAAGAGAAAAAAAGCCAAAAACAAATGGGAGAGCTACCTGTGGTCTGTACATGCCTGTACATTTGAACACTTGGGAGACAAAAACAGGAAGATAGCCCTGACTCTGTGGCCAACCTGGGCTACACAAGAAATTCCAGGCCAGCCTGTGTGAACTGCAGTGTGAGATCCTGTCTCAAAAAATTAAATTAATTAATAAAACAAAGCTCCAGGAAGAAGCCCCTGGTGTCACATGACCATCAAGGGGTCAATGCCTTTCTTTAGAAAATGGAGACTTGGGGCAGAAGAGATGGCTCAGTGGCTAAGAGCACTCACTGGCTGCTCTCGCAGAGAACCTGGATTCGATTCCCAGCACCCACACGGTGGCTCCTAACGGTGTATTGCCAGTTCCAGGTTCCAGCACGCTCCTCTGACCTATATGGGCAGCAAGCATACACAAGGTACACAGACATACATACAGGTAAAACATTCATGAACATCAAATATTAAAATAGAGACTTGTCTGCTATACAGGGTCACCTTACAGATTAGATCGGAGATGATCCTATTAAGATTGAGAGTCCCTAGGGAAACGCCATATATAGTAGGCACTCAAAAACAAATTCTGATTTTTTTTTTTCTGGTACTGAACTAAATTAGGAATAAACACACAAAACAACAACAAAAACCCACTTGGACCTGAGGATTCTTAACACACACAGTATGCACTTTATTTCGTTGTCATTCACTCGTGTTACAGATCTGTCATATAAAGGCATAGAGAAGTCAGAAGATGTAGCTTCTGTTTGCAGTAGGGCTTCCGCGGGGCTTATTTTCTAATCTGTAAACGAACGGGGTTGGCGTGTATATCTGAATCGCTTTTCCAACTCGATAACCCCTGCTATCGCCCTACAATCATAGAAACAAAACAAAAACGCACATTCCAACCGCCATGGTAATACGAATTTTCAACCACAAAACTCCGTGGTGTAGTGTTGCGAATACGGATCTATTTTGAGACTCCCGAAGTACTTAATTAGCAAAGAAATGCCCCTAAAAATAGCTGATACGGTTAACTGCTTGGTGACTTGGGTATTCTGAGTCGCACCGTGGCAACAGACGGACAGTATAACCCGGCACGGCGTCCTGGGGGTCCTCTCCAGTCCTGCGCCACCGAGGCTGGAGGAGCCACGCACCCTGGGACCCCGGGCGGGTGGGTGGCTTTGGGAGCCGGAGCGACCACGGACGGCCCGCGGCGAGTGCGGTGCGCTGCGCAGGCGAGCCGCCTGGAAGCCGGCGGGGTGGGGTGCCGCGTCGCCGGCCGTCATCCCCCAGCCGCCGCTCCCGCGCCGCCCCGGCGCGCCCGCCCCTTCCCCTTACCACGTAGCCCCCCCACACGTAGAGGAAGTGTCCGTCCACCACGGCGCAGTGGCCGCTGCGCTCCTCGGCCACGCAGAACGCCTGCGAGTCCGCCATCCGCCCTCCGCGGCCCAGCCAGCTCGGCGGCGCCGGCTCAGCGCACGCACGAACGGAACGCGAGGAGGGTCCAGATTGGCGGAGGCGGAACCGAGGAACCTGCGCGTCTGCGCGGCCGCCGCCCGGGTCGGGGGACCCTGGGTGCTCCCCGGAACGCGTGCGTGCGCTCCTGAGACTCCCTCCGCTCCTCTCCCTGAAGCTTCTCTGCAGCCACTGTCTGCACTTGTTAGGTCTTTACTCCTCTGGAACCGTTTCCTTCACTTGCTTCTCGCGATGCTCGTTTCATTTATTATTTTTTTTTATTTTAAATTATTGTATGCGTGTGAGTATTCGGCTCGAATGTGTGTCTTTGTATCAGGTACATCGAGGACCTGGAGTTATGGGCAGTTGTGAACCTCCATGTGGGTGCCGGGAATCAAACCTGGGTCCTCTCGAGCCATCTCTCCAGTCCCACGAAGGGAGTTTTCTCATTTTCCTGCACCTGTGCCTGGGACTGGGTTTATGAACCTCACCTGGGCCAGCGAATTGACACAGGCATCCTCCGGGCTTTTTTTGTCCTTCAGTCAGTGCTCCGCCAATCCTCCTGCCTCAGCTTCCAGAGTGCATGCACCGCCACGTCCGACTTTTTTTTTTTTTTTAGGTCGGAAGTCATATCTGAGGTTTTTGCTTTTGTTTTGTAGCGTCTGGGTGCTTATGTTTTTCTTTTTCCTTCACGTGTACTTATTTACGTGCTAATCACAGAAGAAGGCATTGGTGCCTAAGGCACTGAGTGATAGTTTCTAGTGTTTCTTCGTGATAACTTGTGCATGTGTGTGTGTGTGTGTGTGTGTGTGTGTGTGTGTGTGTGTATGTACACAGGCACAATTCTCTTTAACCCAGCAGAAAGCGTTATTGTCTACCCAGCTCTGTGTCTTGCTTTTTTCACTTGTATAAACTTTTTCTGGGAGAGGAACCGACCTCTGTTCAACAGATCAAAAGAAACAATTCCGTTCAAGTTCCGGTTGATGAACCAGTGGGTTTAATTACAGTTACAAGAGCATGTGCTATACCGCTGAATAAATTGTCACTGCCTAGCAACTGTTAACTGCCTACAAAAGGTGGTGGGGGGGGGGAGCTTGGAACTCTTCCCTTGAACTGTTAACTGTCTGTAAATCCACGGGATGGCAGGGAGCCCCTCCCCCACGGCATAATCACAATGCTGATAGCTTTCTACAACATCCCACCTGGTACCATCTTTCCACCTCCTTCTCCAGGAGTCTCCTGAGGTTTGGATAGGATGTATAGATGTTCGATTTGATTCGGGCTGGGCATTCAAAAGCACTTGGACCAGTTGAGTCTCTGCAGTAACCATTGCCTGTTATAAAAAGAGAAACATCACTGACCAAAGATGACTGCTGCACTAATGGAGGGGCATAAACACAGATACTCAGAAGGCAGTTAGACAGACACACGTCATTTAGCAAAAGAACAGCAGCAGCTTTTCATCAAGTCTAATGTCTCCTCAGCCATGGGCTTTTGTTCAGGCTTACAGAACCAGGCACCAATTCCCTCCTGTGGAATGGCCCACGACTCCAATCAGAAAATAATTGTACTTTTACGCTGGTTGTACCTGTAATAGTTTCATCAGTGGGCACATCAGGCTTGACATGTTGATACTGCAACCTTCAGGATCCCCAGCCAAGTGGGACCATTGGTCACAATTTCCCCTAAGCCGCTTGCATAGTGCCTGCCAGAACTATGAAAGCCAGCCAGGAGGAGGAGGGGCCAGTTCAACGCCATATTGATTTCTCCATGTCCTTCCACCAAGGCATGTGGTATGTGGTACCTTTGGCAGTAGAGAATTGCCATCTGTATTCGGGCTCTCTAGAGTAACAGAAATTATAGAATGAATCTCTATGTAGAAAGGGGATTTATTAAAATGACTTGGGGTTGTAGACCGGCTAATCCAACAATGGCTGGCTGTGAACTCAAAGTCCAAGAAGCCACTAGGTACTCAGTCCACAAGGCTGGGTGTTTCAGCTGGTCTTTATTATATGCTGGAATTCTGAGGAAGTAGGCTCTAATGCCAGTAAAGAAGTGGATTTGCTAGCAAAGAAAGGGCAAGCCGGCAGAAAGCAAAAGCTTCCTGCTTGCATGTCCTTCTAGCAGGACTCCATGGGCTCCAGCAGAAGGTGGCAGGCAGCCCAGATTGAAGGTGTGACTTCTCACCTCAAGATCCAGATTAAAGATGAATGTCTTCCTGACTCAAAATCCATATTAGAAGTGGATCTACCAAGCCGGGCAGTGGTGGTGAAGGCCTTTAATCCCAGCACTCTGGAGGCAGAGGCAGGCAGATCAGAGTACAAGGCCAGTCTGGTCTACAGAGTGAGTTCTAGGACAGCCAGGGCTACACAGAGAAACCTTGTATTGGAAAAAAAAAAAAAAAAAAGTGGATCTACCAAGTTCAAATTAAGCAAAAATCCCTCACAGATATGCCCTCTATTTTTGGATTTTAGTTAATTACAGATATAGTCCAGTAGACAACCAAGAATAGTCATCACAATCCACCCCTTGCCAACCTGATACACAATCATATTTCCTTATGTCATGATTAATTTCCAATTAATAGTGAAAACAATAACCAGGTCATAATGCCTAAAATAACTATCCCATATACAATCATAAACACATTGTGTATTTAACCAGGTCATAATTATACCTAACATATATAGCTATCCCTTAGACAACCGAAAATGCATTATAAATTTTGAATAGGTGGCAATGTCCCTTGAGAGACATTCTTTTAGTATCTCAGACTTAAATACCATAACCATTGATACTCTCTTAATTGATGTTACATCACATGATAAGGAAATTGAAGAAAGAAAACACAAATATCTGTGCAAATGCATTGTTACCAAAAAACTACAGAAACATTCATGTTAAGTATAATCTTTGTTTCTGTAACAGGTCACAGCCTTAGCTGGTATTTATAACTATCTTCCTCTACTACCTATTCTGTATTTCCTCCACTCTTGGCAAGCACCTCAGCAGGCCTTGGCTCTTTTCCTGGAGGAGTGACCCATACCTTCACTCCTGACAGGTCTGTGCCCTTTGTCATACTGCCTGGATTAGGCTGTGGTAGTTTTCCATTAACTTTAATCAAGGGCACCGTAGCAACAAGAGACACCCTAAAGGATCTCCTGCACTCCATACATAATCTTTCTTACCTCCATTCTGGAGATGCAATCCAATTTCCCCATGGTACTCTGGATCAATCACTCCTCCTAACACTGTTATTCTTTTCCTAGCTTGTTGGTTTAAGGGCATCAGAAGTCCAAAGTGACCAAGGGAAAATCTGAGCTTCCAGTTCAATGGAATATTTGTTACGGCTCCTGGCAGGAGTGCTCTCTCCTCTGGAACCAAAACTTTCAGGCCAGCAGAACCTAAGGTAGCGGGAACAGGAAGCAAAAACTTTCCTAGTGGGTCAGTAGGAGTGACAGTGAGTGGAACTGTTCCGCTTTCCACCCCCTGATTCCTGCATCCGTGGATCCTGGCTATGGAGAAACTGTACCATATATTGACCACTGATTCAAAGCACATACTGCCTTCTGGAGAACCCTGCCCCAGCCCTCCATGCTGCTGCCATGTAATTGGTTCTGTAACTGTGTCTTCAAAAGACTATTCCGTCTTTCTATCAGGCCAGCTGCTCCAGGATGGTGAGGAACATGGTAAGACCATGGGATCCCATGATTGTGGGCCCAGTGTTGCACGTCTATGGCTGTGAAGTGAGTCCCTTGGTTAGAAGCAATAACGTGTGGAATACCATGTTGGTGGATCAGGCATTCTGTAAGTCTGTGGGTGGTGGTTTTGGCAGAAGCATTCTGTACAGGAAAGTCAAATCCACAACCAGAATAAGTATCTCCTCCAGGAAGGACAAAGGGTTGGTCCTTTCCATGGGGAAAGTGGTCCAATGTAGTCAACCTGCCACCAGGTTGTTGACTGGTCTCCCTGAGGAATGGTGCCATATCTAAGGCTCAGTGTTGGTCTCTGCTGTTGGCAGATCTGGCAACCAGCAGTAGCTGTAGCCACGAGTGGCAGTCCATGTTGTTGAGCCCATGCATAACCTTATCTCTGCCACCATGGCCCCTTTGTTCATGGGCCCAATGGGCAATGACAGCAATTACTGGGGAAAGATACTGTCTACAGAATGGGCCATCCATCATTGAACTCCTCCTCAGCTGAAGTCACCTTTCGATGCGAGAATCTAATTAGTCTTAACAATAAAAACCCAGAGTCAGATATTAGGGTGAAAGCTGATAGATCAGAGAAGCAGAGCAGCCAGCCACTAGAGACTTCTTAGCTCTACAAAATCTCAGACTGAATAGGACATCCTGTCTCTACAAATCCTCAGACTAAATGGGCCCCACCTGCCTTATATTTCGGTCTCTGGTATTTTGGTTTGCTTATTTAATATCCCATGGCTTGTGGGAGTGCCCTACACTTGCAGGGTATCTCCATTCAAACTTCTGCAACTGCTGTTTTAGTAACCCAGCCCCTGTAGGGTTGTAAGGTAGGTGGAAGTACCACTGGAGCTGGTTGTCTCCAGTCCAGTTCTGCACACCAGTATTTGAGAAAGGAGTGCCCCCGCCACCGTCAATTCTCTGGAGTGCCTATACACAATGTTGAGCTGGATGAGGCCCTTAACGATAGCCTTGTCTTATGCTTATTTGCATGGAAGCACTTGCAAGAGGTCTGTGGCCGTCCACACAGGTAAGGGCATATTAGCACATCCCTGACAGGCATAAGTCCTACGTGGTTTACTTACCAACCCCACACAGGATGGGTAGATTTGTGTATTTGCCTCACCATAACATTCATATGCCATGAACATAATTGAGAATAGGCCTCACATGTCTGGACACTTTGCAGCATACTGGAACATTCCATGGGAATGCCTTGGCCTGAGCTATCTCCTACCCTATGTTGGTTTCTCTGTGGTCAGACTTTATAGGAACCTAGTGGGCAGGTATTGTTTGTTTTTGTTCTTTTGGGGGGCCTGCCACCCAGCTCCCAAATAAATCTCACATGGAGGCTTATTCTTAATTATAAATGCCTGGCCTTTGGCTTGGCTTGTTTCTGGCCAGCTTTCCTTAACTTAAATGATCCCATCTACCTTTTGCCTCTGGGCTTTTATCTTTCTCTATTCCTGTATAGCCTTTCTTTCCTTCTTATTCCGTGTCTGGCTGTGTAGCTGGGTGACTGGCTCCTGGAGTCCTCCTCCTTCTCTGGCTACTCCTTCTTCCTCCCAGATTTCTCCTTCTATATATTCTCTCTGCCTGCCAGCCCTGCCTATCCTTTCTCCTGCCTTGCTATTAACTGTTCAGTTCTTTATTAGACCAATCAGGTGTTCTAGACAGGCAAAGTAACACAGCTTCACAGAGTTAAACAAATGCAACATAAACAAAAGCAATACACCTTAAAATAATATTCTACAACAGGCAGGCTCCAAAGGACACTTGAAATCAGATGATCCATATTCTACTAAGGGCATATGCTTTTTGATTTCTGGGAAGGCTCAATGAACTATGGGCTACTAAACAGAAAGCTGCCAGGATATATCTGTGATATATTTTCTCCTATATCTATTGTCCCCCAAGGTAGTCAACCTAGAACTTGGCAACTTTCTCTTTTCCATCTGAATATATCTCTGAATATGCCAGTATAGATTATCTAAGGCTAAGTTTCATGAGCTATTATATGTCCACATGTGTTGGTTTGAAAGATAATGGCCCCCATAGGCTCATATAGTTGAATTCCTAGTCCCCAGTTGAACTGTTTGGAAAGGATCAGGAGGCATGGCCTTGTTGGAGGTGTGTCCCTGGAAATTTGGCTTTGAGGCTTCAAAAGCCCACACCAGTGTCTCTGTCTCTCTGCCTGCTGCCTGCAGATCAGGAAGTAAAGCTCTCCGCTACTTCCCCAGCGCCATGCCTGTCCGTTTCCTGCCACGATGAGCATGGACTAACTCTCTAAAACTGTAAGCGAGCCCCCAATTAAATGCTTCCCTTTTTAAGAGTTGCCTTGGTCATGGTGTCTCTTCACAGCAACAGAACAGTAACAAAGACACAATACAACTCAGTCACTGGCTACTCCTTCCTTCTCTGCTCTCCACACGTATGATAGCCGTCGTTATTGGTATTGCTGCAGCCACCCCTGCTTGTCTGGTGCCCTGGCCATGTCGTTCATATGCCAGGCATTAACAGGGATAAGGAGGGTCCCTTCCTGGCTTGGCTGTTGGTCCAGTTACTGGTGGAGGTGCACTGGCTTGAAAGGACACTGGCCCCAGCATAGCCTCGTGGCACTCATGGCGGGGCCGGCAGACACCACATCTCATTGTTGTGACTGAGCATGCCGCTTTCGAAAGTATGATTCTGCACCACCCCAGAAAGAGCCCTCGAAGGCCTTCAATCCAACCTGAGCTTTGGCAATCTGTCCTTAGTATTACTGAGGTACCTGTGATGGAGTTGTCCTGTTGCAATGCTTTTAAAAACAACTCCCAATTCTATCCTAGGGAATATATTCCAGCTTTTTCCTCTTCCCATGATCAGAACCAAAATCCCATTGAAACTGTTTGCTTGCTAATCAGGCTGGTTTTGCTGTAACTTCCAGCTGTCACCCTCAGAGCTCCTGACAACTTCTAACATGAAGGGAAACTGATGTAATGGGACACATGCCTATTTAGCTTGTTTTACAAGGATCTTAGCGCAATCAAAGCTTCTTGAGCCTTTCTTGATCCCACGGGGCACCCCTCCCCCTTTTTATCATGTTGTTAAAA